ATTACTACATTTATTTTCAACTTCTTTCAGAAATTCACTTCATTTAAATTAATGTCATGTTGTTCAGACTGAGTCACTTCATGTTGCTTTGGATTGATGGCACTATGAACACTGTAATGACATTGTTAATATATGTTAAAAAAATTACCTTTTTATCAGGAAAGTTTATCTCTAGCTCCATACTAAATTTAATGGAGGTAGCAAAATAAAAAGCATGAATGCACTGGCAGTATGCGAGAGAAATTACAGAGTGCTCTCTAATTATATCACTGTATTACAGCAGTGAGGAATCAAACTAGGACTAATGGAACAGCTCCTCCTGGAAGCATGTGGAGAACAGGGAGGTGATTCAGGACAGCCAGCACAGCTGCGCCAGTGGCAGGCCCTGCCTGACCAAACTATTGCCCTTCTGTGATGGTGCGACCATATCAGTGGTCAGGGGAAGGTTTATAGATGTCGTCTCTCTGGGTTTCTCTAAATCCTTTTACTTGACCTCCTTGTCTCTGAAGTGGAGAGAGATGGACTTGATAAGTGGACTCTTTGCTGGATAAGGTATTGGTTGGACAGCGACATCCAGAGAGTAATGGTCAATGAATCAGAGTCCTGATGGACATCTGTGACGCATGGTGTCTCTCAGGGGTCTGCAGTGGGCCTTTATTTTTTATGATAATAAATTATAATATTTAGTATCTTCATTAATGACAGGAATGAAGGAATCAAGTGCTCCCTCAGCAGGTTCGCAGATGGCACTGAGCTGAGTGGTGCAGCTGACACACCTGAAGCACAGGATGCCATCCAGAGGGACCTGGACAGGCCTGAGCAGTGGGCCCATGGGAATCTCAGGGGGTTTGAGGAGACCAAGTGCAAGGTGCTGCACGTGGGTTGGGGCAAACCCTGGAATCAGCACAGGCTGGGGATGAACAGATGGAGAGCAGCCCTGCTGAGAAGGACTCGGGGTGCTGGGGGGAGAGGCTGGGCATGACCCAGCCATGGGCACTCCCAGAACAGAGAGCCAACTGTGCCCTGGGCTGCATCCAAAGCAGCGTGGCCAGCAGGGCCAGGGAGGGGATTCCTCTCTGCTCTGCTCTGTACTGCCCCTGTATTCTGCAAGCTGCAGTTCTACATCCCTCTGTGAGACCCTCAGCACAGGAGAAACATTGACCTGTTAGATCAAGTCCAGAGGAGGCCACCAAGATGATTAGAGGGATGGAGCATCTCTCCTGTGGGGAAAGATTGAGAGAATTGAGACTGTTCAGCCTGGAAAAGAGAGGGTTTTGGGGTAACCTAATTGTGGCCTTCCGCTACCTGAAGGGAGCCTCCAGGAAGGATGGAGAGAGACTTTTTGCAAATGACCTTCAAAGGTTTGAAACTAGATGACCTTTAAAGTCCCTTCCAACCCAGGCCAATCTATGAGTGATGGTATGATATAGTTCCAACCCCCCTGCCATGGACAGGACACCTGCCAGTAGACCAGATTGTTCAGAGCCACATCCAGCCTGGCCTAGAACACTTACGGGGTGGGGCAGCCACAGCTTCTCTGGGCAGCCCCTTCCAGGACCTCACCAGCCTCACAGGGAAGATTTTCTTCACGACATCTAATCTAAATGTGCTCTTAGCATCCGCAACTTCTTTGTGCACAAGTACAAGTAAATGTTCTTTTGAGCCAGTGAAACAGAACATAGGTGTCACAGTATTATAGACTTCATATGAAACATCATAAACAGCTCCAAAATGCATGATCCCATCTGCTCACACAGCTGAAATGACTTTGGCCACTTTTCCCTTGGCATAATGACCAACAATGTGAAAAGTGGCTATTTTTTCTTGTCTTACAAAGCACAGTCCTTCCTGAAGCTGTTTGTCAGTGGTGCTGGTTACAGTTGCTGTCTCACAGCCTGGTCCTTTGCCTGAAACAGAAAGATATAAAACAAAAATACAGCTGTGAGAGTGTTAGCATATTACGATAATGGTCTTAAATTTGCTTTAGGGAGTATATAATCTTTTGTGGCTGATGGTTTGTGGGTGTTAAGGGAGAGAGCAGAGTAAATATTCTTTTGGGTCTCCTGACTTAACATCTGTTATGCAGTTACTTCAGACTTTGGGAAAGTAGATTCAGAGATCCAGCAGTCCTTTAGTGCATTAACATTTATTAATGTATATCAAGGTTTTGGCAGTGTAATAGTATTTAAACAGCTTAATCTTCCTTTGTCTAAAAAGAAAGAATACACAAGGAATATAGACCTACGCTGGCATGTAAGCATTGTTTAAATAATTGTTGAAGATGTTAGATGTGACATGAAATTTGTACAAGGCTATAAAACATATGATGGCAGGCAAACAGCTGGAATTTATGTAGAAATATCTATGTTAAGGTATGAAAATGCATTATTTTATGAGATTTCATAACAAAGTGTATGCACAGATGTCAGAATAAAATGTTTAACTTACTTATCACATTGAAAGGGTGTCCTAGATAATTTAGAGAGCTTAAACTAACTCTGTGGCTTGTACAACAATTAATATTTCCCACATGCACAGATTTTAAATTAAAATACTGGAATATATGTAGACAAAACCTCAAATTAAGTGGAGCTGTGGTGGTAAGTACACATCATTAACTTAAAGAAAAGAGCTCAAAGGGAGTGTTATATTTAAAGGATTTTTAAATTCATGATACATTCCAATTTTATGTCATTTGAAAGCATAGAGTCAGGCTCAGACAACCTATCTAAATTAATACATCCATATTTGAGCTCAGCTATTAGGTCTTGTAGGCGAAGCTAACACTACACGCTTTGATCTGGAAACCTGTAACTGAAAGTCCAGCCTAACTGCTACAGTGAAGATCTGCAGAGATGCAGTTTTCCTGTTCCTGGTAAGGAACTGTCTGCTAGCAAACACTAAACAAATTTTTCATTTTCATTTTTATAAATACTTCCATCTCATCACATGAAGAAGAACTGAGAAATTATTTTTAAAAAATTAAAAATAGTTGTTTTGGTATGTCTAAAGTGAATACTGTTACTGTGTTTAGCAAGAAAAACAACTAGAGGTTTTTTTACTTGCCTTAGACTTATTTATTTTCAAACTTACAGCTATTATTTGATTGTGGGATGAAACTTTTTGCTTTGAGTTTAAAAGTGATTTCCAGTTAAAAGGGTCATTTTTTTTAACTCAGAGAAATGATTTCTATTGTTTACATATTTCAAAAGGTCTTGCTTTCTAACTCAGACATGAGCCCAACCACTAATTTTCCAAACATAGCTCTATAAATAAAAAAATCGTGTTCTTCCATGTTTCACTGCTTTCTTTATATGGTCTCAAAGGGGAAAGCCTTGCTTGTCACAGTTCTGCTTAGCTGCTCCCGTCAAATGGAAATAAAAAAAATGTTAGTTATGTCATCATATAAACTGTCAGTTAAATGTTTTAGTGCTTCATAAGTGTTCTAAAATCTTTTAATAAATCCCTGGATTGTTGTCTATTTGGGTGTCCATTCCATGCTGTGGATGTTTAAGTCTGTTGGCTTTGATATACAGTTATGCTTAAGACTCCTTGGGACTCAAGTTATTTAATGAATACACAAACTAAGATCCAAACATCACTCAAATCTTTGCTTTCCAGTCAAGTTAATTTCAAGCTGATCTCTGTATTAATGAGCTATTAGAAAAGACAGGCAGGCACTGGGCAACTCTATTGTAGAAGCTTATTTCCATAAGGAAGTAAGGTAAAAATGGATCATTTGGCATATTTTTAAGACTTCTGTTGTGTATATGCAAATAGTAATTAACATTTTCAGCCTATCAATAATAATAATACTTTAATACATTTAAGGTAATTCAAAGATTGGAGTCTGAAATATAACTTTGCCTATGAAAGCACACTTCTAAATTTCATTGGATTTGGCTTTTCACCTCATGAAGTTTCTGGCATTTATTCCTTTAGATATTCATAAAAATAGAGATTTAAAAGTGTTACCAGTATAGTGAATAACTTGCAGTGAACTCAGATGCAAATCAAGGCATTCCACTTTGTGCTAGGTACCTGCTCTGTCTTAGGTTTGAAATGCATTGCTTTTTATGATGTTGGGTTTTTTTTGATTCTTTGCTTTTATTTTTTTAAATTTTTGTATTGGATGACTTCCGTTATTGAAAAAGCAAGACTATTTGTAATGTTTTGGACCGAATACAGTGCCAGCAGATGCTATGCAGGTTTAGCTGAAGAGCTTTGACAACCTCTTAAGTCTTGATATGTAGCACACCATCTATTCTGGCCATGGTTGTTCAAAAACATATAATGTATGTCATGCTAAATTGCACACTAGCTGTTTGGTTAGTATGGATGTAATTATACCATAAACTGAATTGCAGTTGAAACTGAAAAATGGACCTAGAGCAATATTTTTAAATTGTATCAGTTTTTATGCTAAACCACATTTTAGATTTTCCCAGACAGTCTATAGTTATCTTACTGTGCATTTACACTCCCCTCTTGATGAGGTAAGGGTAAGCAAGCCTCAGGGGCCAGAGATTTATGTTCTGATTTGACAATATTTTGTGAACCACTATGTGTGGTTCTAAGTAGGGATGCAGGACATGCTGCAGTATTAAGTAATTTTAGTCTGCTTGCCTGGAGGTTCCTCCTGCTCTGTGGAGTTTTGATACCCATCTCATACTTGAAATTCTTCAGTCCTTGCACTTTCAAAACTTTCATTGACTGATCTTGGTATTGATTGTTCATGAACTGTAACAATCCCTCTTGCTTGTCTGATGTCTTTAATCTTTTTATCCATCTTTATAACTAATCGATATTTATATTGTCATGGAGGCAGTATATCCGCATCCAGTCTTGTGTCTGCAAACTCACAGAGTGTTTGTAAGACAGATTGGTATAGAAACAGTTTAGCATTTTCTGGGATGGAAGAGGAAAGCATTCCAACATGTTGTAAATACGAAGATAGAGTTACCTGTTATCTGAAATTGGCATTTTCTTTCTACCAACAGGTCCCATAAGCAGCATTTTGGTGAATAAGTATGGTAGCCGGCCTGTGATGATAGCAGGGGGTATCCTCTGTTCTTTTGGAATGATTGCATCCTCTTTCTGCAATAGTGTCCTTGAGCTGTATATATGTATCGGTGTGGTTGGAGGTAAGAGTCCTGTTTAAAAGGTTGTATTTTGTTGTGTTATATCAAACTATTTCTAATACTGTTCTACAAATGAGCCTCACTGAGAATTCTCTGTATACAGATGCAATCCAAGAAGGTAGGAAGATCAGTTAAACTACCTGAACTATCTAATCCTTTAAATTAACTGATATGGTTTTAAATTATTTCTTAGGACAATTCAGAAACAACTGATGAATTTATTCACTAAATGCTGTATGTATGTACTTTTCCACATTGCTCTATAATTGTGGTATAAAAATTGATTGGCTCATGACAGCACTTATTACAGTCATTTCACATGTGTACAATTTCACATTCCTTGTTTTAGTTTTCAATCATGTTGCACTGCAAACAGAGTGGCAGATGCTAGCCAAATGCAAGTAGAATTGTGAAAGCTTGTACCAGATTTCTGTAGGTTTTTTACATACACATCATCTCACAGAAAAGTATTACAACTTTCAGTTCAATAGCTTCCTGTTTAAAATCCCCCATGGTCAATCACCAAATAAAATTATTCATAATCATTTATCACAGGCCTAGATATCGCCTAAAGCAATGACTTAAACTCATTGTAATGCCAGTAAATTAAAGAATCTCCTTATTGAAAGTTGTGGGTTTTTTTTTTTTACTCTCTTCTCAGAATAAGGAAGGAGAGGTGAAATACTGCAGGTAATAAATGAATGAGATAATATCTGTATATTCAGGCTCATCTTCCTTTATGTTGGGACTAAAGGAGACTGTTTTTATTTAGTGATTAATCTCTAAAAGTCTTATTTTTAACATCCCAAACTTGGTGCCTACTGAAAGAGTAATGTCAGAGTCTGGGAATGGGCCTATCAAGGAAGAGAGTTTCTCTCCTGTACCATCAAGCAGAGGCATATTAGAGTTTATGGCTTAGATGTCTTAATACAGAGAGAAGGCCTAGAGGTTCAGCTTTGGGGTCAGTTTATACATTCAGCTGATCTGGGTGGGTGGTCTGCTCCCATGTGTGTCCTTTACAACTCCTTAATAGTGACCTGGGAAAGGAGAGCTGAATGTGCTGGAAAATAATTTGCTATTTTATGTTCCTGTTTTACAGACAAGTTGGATCTTAATTAGGGTTGGAAATAGGAAATTAGGAGATTTATGCGTTTAAATAAACCCTACATTCATTGTAGCTGAGGTGACATTTAATAACTTTTGTTAAATGAGCCAGGAGAGAATTGTATTACAGTTTAGAAAATATAAAAATGGTGAGTCAAGGCATGGATACCATCATTCTTCTGTATGTGATTCCCCTGTCTCTATCATTGCTGAAAGACAAAAGGAGTTTTGGCTTTCAATGCAGCACTATAGGGGAAAATGACCAAATACTACCATGACACAGTCTTGGTATAAACACTCATAGACACCAGTGAGGCTGTATTTCATTATCTGATGCCAGCTGCTTTCTATATGGAGAATCAATGGATTGGATACTGGTCATTTTAAAAATAACTTGAAAGAGCTGGGATGTTTTTTTCACTGCATGACCTGCAATAATAACTGTCTTTTATGTGTTGTTTAGGTCTGGGTTTAGCATTCAACTTACAGCCTGCCTTGACCATGATTGGCAAGTATTTCTATAAGAAGCGTCCCATCGCTAATGGATTGGCAATGGCTGGAAGTCCGGTGTTTCTGAGCACATTGGCACCTCTCAATCAATTCCTCTTTAATGCTTTTGGCTGGAAAGGAAGCTTTCTTATTCTGGGAGGACTTCTTTTGAACTGCTGTGTGGCTGGGTCACTTATGAGACCTGTTGGACCAAAAAAAGTTCCTCCTGTGAAAAAAGATGTTGAAAAAGGCACAGGAGATTCTGCCTTGCACAAAAACAACAAGAAGTCTTGTTGGCAAACTATGAATAAGTATCTAGATCTGTCCCTTTTCAAACACAGAGGGTTTCTGATATATCTGTCAGGAAATGTCATTATGTTTATTGGTTTCTTTGCTCCGATAGTGTTCTTGGCTCCTTATGCCAAGCACAAGGGAATTGATGAATATTCTGCTGCTTTTTTGCTCTCTATCTTAGCCTTTGTAGACATGTTTGCTAGGCCTTCCATGGGACTTGTAGCAAACTCCAGGTTTATCCGGCCAAAGATCCAGTATTTTTTTAGTTTTGCTGTCTTGTACAATGGTGTCTGTCATATCTTGTGCCCTCTGGCAAAAAATTACACTGGCTTGGTGATATATGCTGTATTTTTTGGGTTTGCATTTGGAATGGTTAGCAGTGTTCTTTTTGAGACATTGATGGACCTTGTTGGAGCTGCCAGATTTTCCAGTGCGGTGGGACTTGTCACCATTGTGGAATGTTGCCCTGTGCTCATAGGCCCTCCTCTAGGAGGTAAGAATCTATTTCTTTCCATTTCCATTTTTTTTCAGACATTACAGTATAATCTTGCAATGTAACATTGAATTAATATAAACATTGTTCTTAATGTTTTCACTGTTATTAAAAATGTACCATAATAGCCTGATAGTAAAAAATAACTGCATCAGTTACTGTCCTGGTTTAGGGCAAAATTGGGAGAAATGCTCCAACCTAGGGGCAGCTTGAAGAATGCTCACTTACACTTGCTTAAACAATTTTAATTTATCTAAATAGAGAGAATGGGCATTTCCAGAGAGGAAAAACTAACAGGAAAGTGTCAGAGGGAGCACAAGCCTGCTCAGCACTTCAGGCAGGGTGCACACATGGTGAGATTCCATCAGGATGCTGTGGAGCATTGTGCCTTGGCATGGTTTCACACCCCAGCTCTGCTCGCAGCCAGCCCTTTAGCCTGTTCCTGTAGCCAGTAGATGGGGGCAAGGCAATGCAGAGGTTGAACTGACTGAAAGATGTTAGCATCACCAACTTCTCTTTTCAAGTGCAAAGGGAGCTTAAAGTGTATTACTTAGACTACACTCAGAACACTTGTGCTTCTAGCAGCAAAAATGAACAGTGTTTTCTGGAAGTATTTTCAGAAAGTATTTTCTGTTTGCTGGGGTTTTTTTCCTCAGTATTCAGTAATGCTGATAGCAAGCTTTATATTATTGAGATTTCTGAGGATATAAGAGATTAAAAAAATAGGTGCTCTAATTTTATTGAGAAGCATTGGTATGTATCTTGGTGTGTGTGTTGCAGTATAAGCCCAACAATATGAGAATATAAAGATAGTGAAATTGCCAGCCTAATGAACATTAGCACTGTACCCACATTAGCACTGCCTCAGAAGTCAGCAAGATTATGTGTGCCTAAAAGCATTTATATATACTGAAATACTTCAGATTACTGTCAGGATTTCTATGAAAATAGTATTGTTGTGTGCAATTCTCAATATGCCAAAACAATTCCACTCACTTCAGTAAAATAATATCTATACAAGTACATTTTTAATATGTCTAAAGACATTCCATATTGTTTCTCATCATTTAACATACAAATCCACTTTGGCAAAGGTAGAGCAAAATATATCCTCACACAGACTCTTTCTATGCCACCTAGTGGGGGGTCTGAGCTTGTAACCACTGGAGTCCAGCCTTTTCAGTCAGGTTCTGAAATCAGTATCAACTCAAAAGATATTAAATCCAATATTTATGGAGCAGTAGCTTACACAGTTATTTATTTTTCAGTATATAAACTTTTCAGGAGTTTTGGAAAGCATTTTTTATTGTGTTATAACACTATAAATAATTGATTTAACTTGTTAAACAGAGGCAACAAAAGGGGTGAACACATGGAAAACCTAAGCTCTAGTTTTGACTAGTTCATATGTTTTAAAATAGTATGCTGAAGCATTGCTAATTCAGAATTTTGTTTTTAAATATATTTTTATGAGACTGCTCACTGAAAAAAATCAGCAAATTGCACTATTTACAGAAATAAGTGAATTCTACACTTTCAGTGCTATTTTGAGTTTGTCCCAGTACTAGGTTTGTAAAAAAAAAAAAAAAAAAAAAAAAAAAAAAGAAAAGTTTGGAATAATTTCATGGCTTGTAAACATATATCAGGTGAATAGGCTAGCATTATGTTTTCAGCCCAGTAAAAACATCTAAATGCATACTAAATTGAAGTGTGCAGCTCACCCTGTGAGTTTCAATTATAGTGCAGGAAAGTTTGGAGCTAAATACTTGGATACATATAAAGGTTAATTTGGGAATTGGGAAAATTTAGAAGGGATGTCTCATAAATTGGAAGAACTGTTATATTTTTCTGTCCTTGCCATAAAGAAATTTAAACTCAGAGGTCTGAATGTAAGTTTGAGGTACAGGGCTCAGAGTTTAAAACTCAGCAGTTGAGCGTGATGGCTGAAGGGAGAAGCCTTTCTATCTCTTTCACCAGTCAGAGGAAAGTAAAAGTGAAAAGCAGGCAGCTGAGGCACAGAGACAGCAGCCTAAAGAGGCACATGCCTCTTCATCCTGTTGCCTTTATGCAGCCTCAGTGAGTGTCAGACTGTCACTCCAAACAATAGGAAAACACTATTAGGAGGTGAATGAAATAATAAGGTAATGAAAGAATGAAAATAAAAGAGCTGAAAAACTGTCATTATTCATTAAGCTTTACTTACTTTGTTCTTCAATACTTTATTATTGTCAGTCTTCAACGGCAATTGCTATCTAGATTAATACAGGTGTTTTTTGAGAGCTCCACTGTTTTCAACTTTAACATGTTGAAAATGCATTTTTGCTCCAACTTCAAAACTAAAACATATATAGATATTTTTCCCAGGGGGAAGATGTGGATTTTATTTGATGTCCTAGTCTAAATGCTCTTTTTCTCTTCTCTTATCTTTGTATTTCAGGTTGGTTAGTAGATGTTACTGGTGAATATCAGTACATGTATTTTGTCTGCGGAGTGATTGTGACTGTGGCCAGTATCTGGTTGTTCATTGGCAATGCCATCAACTACAGGCTTTTGGCAAAAGAAAAGAAGTTAGAAGATGAGAAACAGAAAGCACAGAAGAATGCTGACCCAAAGGAAGCAGAACCATTAACAAACAATGAGAACGAAGATGCTTCCAGCAGAGCTGATAAAGCTGTTGAAGATCCATCAGAAAGAGAAACCAATATTTAGTCTGAAATTATAGCTCAGAAGGCAACATTTATGACTTCCATTAGGAATATGTCTTCAAGACACAGGCCAGGTTTTGTGGTAATAATGATCAGTCACAATATTGGATGGGAACAGATTTTTCCCCTATGGCAAGACTCAAAGCTAAATTACTATCTACAGTTTATTTGTTTCAGTGATAAAAAATTATGATTACAGAGCTAGTGACTCAATGCAAATGAGTCCATTAAATTTTGACTCTGGACGATCAAGAGTCAGACAAACCAGGCTATAAAGCCTTCCTGTGACAAACAGTTTTGTTTCAGAAGGGTATCTGGTGCAAAAGTATCTCCTACTCTTATTTGGGAAGATACTTGCATTCATCTTTATGATGTGGTTAAAGTCTATTGAAATAATCTGCCCAAATTCTACTTACCATTAATATTAAAGAGAAGATAAAGTCAAAGATTTGTTTCAAAAGAGACATAATACCTGACCATAGCACACTGAAACATTCTTCTCTTTTGTACACCCACTACATAAAAATATGGCTGCATAAGCAATTATGGATATAAAAGTTAAGTATAGGAGACAAATAATTGGTGAACACACCTCTAAAATGCAATTAAAAGCTGATTTACAATATATTCCAGAAGTAGTTTCCTCCAGTTATAGCTGATTACATAGTACTTCAACATATACATTTGAATTCAAAGTATGTTCACACCTTGCTAATTCAAGCTAGCTAAAATCTGCCTGTACATAAAAGGTTTAAACTCAAGATTTGCATTTCTAACAAGAGTGGCAATCAGTTTGTTGACTGTGTATTCCTCTGTAGCTGAAGGTTCTGGATCAGACTGTGAAGCCATTTTCCTAAAGGGACTGGATTCATAATCTGCTGATGTTAAAAGGATACTAACCCTTGGCTTTTGTGGCCTTAATGAGTTTCATGACAATGACTTCAAAGTAGATGCTTGGCTTTATTGACAAGTCGTTAGTTTGATGGTTTCTTGAGAGGAGACTGAAGATCTAACTTCAGATCTTTGCAGATGGGTAGCTTCCCAGTTCCCACTTCCCTTTCCCAGGAATTTAGTGAAAAGCTACTTCTTTTTTTGTATTGCTGCTTTGAGCAAAAATGCTGCAAGGCACCTTGACAATGCCAGTCTGGAAGCTTTGTATTGACACATCAGTTTTATGCAGGATGTTTAGTCTTGTGTCTACAATTTCATGCAGACCATCATATAAATTAAAATGTACACAATTGTTCCTCTTCCTTTAGACAAAACAAGGCATAAACCTACAATTTACTTTACACAAATCATTTAATACTGCATTTGAAAGATAAAAGTGCAAGCTTCTGAAGATAATATGTGAAACTATTTCTGTTCTATTTCTAAGTAAGGAAAGGTGCTATTCATTTTGGAGGGATGCTTGTAAATGCCTCAAAAATTGTGAAAATTAAGGGTCTGATTCATAAAACATTTATGCACTGTTTATGCAGGATACACCTACACTCAATTCCAGGAAAAGAAAATTATTCATTTTAATCCTCTTCTAAATCTCAAAAAGTTGGAAATATATTGGACAGAGTGATAAACACTAACTGTGATAAGCACACTTTGAAGTGCCAATAACAAAATTAAAAACTCAATAGTAAAATCTAGTAGATATGGGAGGGCTTTTAAGTTATTTCTTATTATTTTCAATATTATTTTAATTTTTCTTCTAAAAATGTTGATAGTGCTTGATTCTGTTTTACTGGTTTATCATTTTATAAAGTTCCACAGTAATGATGATTTTTTAAAATTTTCTCATCACTGTTTTGGGGAGAAACATGAATTTACTCTCAGCATGGTACAGAATTTAATACCTGCTTTTTACCTAGTTGTATTCAGGAAAACCAAATTTCTCCAACAAATCCTGTAAAATTTTAGGAGCATCAGAATCAAAATATATGCATTCCAGAGTTTTGAGATAAAATATGGTTGCATGTTCAGACTCGAGCCATGTACTTTGAAAAGAGGAATGATTCAGCCCCAGTAAAATTAGAGTTCCTCTCCCAAGCCCAAGCTTCAGAGAGTAAGCAAAAACATTGCACCTCCCTCTGAACCTTAGCCTTGCCAGCACCCCATGACATGAAGCATTGCTCTTTTTTTGGTTGTACAAACATATTGAGTGAATTCCAGGAGCTGTGAAGGCTTTGTGTGCCCACAGCCAGAAAGGGATGAATTTCATAGATACTAAGCTTTCATACAGTAAGGATTTTCAGTTATAAATACTGGATTGTGAAAGACGAACTGAAATTTTAGCTGAAGAGTGGTCATCAGGAATATCACTCTGCTCTTGATAGCCGCTGATAGAAATGCAGAGATTATTTGAAAAGAGATTAATACAGGAACTGAACCAAAAAGTCTGAGGTAAAATTGTAGGTGCTTATCGTTACCTCTTTGCAATAAAGGAGCATGATTAAGAATAAGGGTAGAATACAAGTGTCAACTTTTGACTGAAGGCTGTTAAAAGTTGCTGTTGAGTAAATAAAGGATTCAGAAAAATGATGATAAAAAGAAGTCTCTCAGGAAATATGCAGGCAACTTGCCTGTTCTATGCAGGATCTCAGAATACAAAACAACATGGCATAGGAAATAAGGGAAAAACAAAGTTCCTTGAGCCATAGACACATCTGACCACTGGCAGCAAAAATTATATCACTATCTCAGAGAAATAAAAATTTCTATAAACACTCTACAGAGATGCTACTCTTTTGTTTCTGGTCTATTATGTTAAAAGGTAATAGAACTGCAAGAGCTGCTTTACCACCACTCACCAGTGTGCAGCTTTTGATCCCATAAGGCAAAATGATGTGGCAGACAACTAGAGCAATATAAAGTAAGAAGAGCCAAGTTAAACATTTCCTTACACCTCTTTCATTACTCTTTCTCTTAATAATAGCAACAAAATAAAAGCCATCAGCATACTCTTGATACTACTGAATATTAAAGAAGTTAAAACCCAGAGATGAGTGAAGAAAATTGGAACTGTATCTATGCAAAAACTATCTTGAATTAAAAACCTGTGTCTTCCAAATAACGGGTCCTAAAGGGGCAATTGCCTGGTATAGGTAGCTATTATTTCTAAATGAAATTATAATAATAAATTGCATTGAATCAACTTTATTCTGAACATCAAAGCAGCGAAATGAGTATAACTTGTCTTCAAACCCTGAATATCACTCCTACTTGCACTGACCTGTAATTTGAACTATAAATAATTTCATCGCTACATTTCTGCTTTTGAGATTAGACCTGGGTATATAGACAATTTCTCTGAATTGCTCTGGTTTCTCTTAATTACCTCACCCTCAGTTTGAACCACTGAAGGGTTAGCACGGAGCCATTCCCCTGATCAGTGATGAAGAAATGTACTCCGAATTTCTAGCACTTGTCTCTTATGAGCTCTAAGAATCTGTAGTCTCAGTCAGTGCAAGCAAATCCTTAATTGATCTTGTTCTCATTTATACTCATGTATACTTCATTCTTTTAATTTCTCTACTGCAGTATTGCTAAGCCTGATTACCCTTTTTCTCGTCTAGAAAAAATAATGCAAAAATTTTAAAACTAGTAGGAAGATGGATAGCATAAATAATATTTTCCCAATTTCATATCAGGGTTAAATTTCAAGTTGTTTTAAAGTACACATCCAGATACTTCTTTCTCTTTTTTTTTTTTTTTTTTTTTTTGGGGTTTTTTTGGCTTTTGGTTTTTTTGGGTTTTTTTTGTTTTTTTTATGTCATATACTCTATTAGCTGGAGAATTCTCCTGTATTGCCCTTTCCAATTCCAGAGAAAGACTCTTCACTCATAATTCTCATTACTATTTCAGGAATGTATCAAAATTTCACCCCTCCCATCTCTCCCCATTGAACTGTGGTTGCAATTGTTAATTCTGTATTTCCATGAAGTTCAGAAAAGCATCTTTTTATATGGAAGACTACAGTGCTTTTATTTCAGGAGTGTGTTTTGTGAACTGCTGTGACAGAGGTAGGGAAAATCTTACTTCATCTTCAAATACATTTTTTTAAGTGATGCTGTCCTTATTGAGAGGAGGTACAGCTTTACTTACTGGTGAAGTGAATGGCAGCAATTTCACTGACATTGATGCAAATTCACATGCATTTTAATGATCATGTTGCATATCAGCATCCACTGTGCTTAAAAAACATTTGGCAATGTGTACATGATTTTTCCTCCCAGAGAATTCTCATTCCTTTTAAATGTTCCCCACCTGCACCCCATACTTAATTTTGATGTAACAAAAAATTTGGTCGGGGTATGTAGTGACTTATCTTTAATTCTTTCTTGGTTTTTTTTCATGAAATGACACATTTTCCATGTTGCCAAATGCAACATTTTTCACTTCCTTCTTTCATGTCTGGTTGTGAATATTAGTGGAGAGGTACTGGTATACATAAGTTAAAGATACCACATGCAGCCAGATTTTGGACTGCTTTGAGGATTTCACTAAACAAAACCAGTCACCACTTTTATGGATGACCATGCTATAAATGACACTGACAATTTTGCCTATAACAAAATTGAACCAGGCAATTTTTGTTAGTTTCTCTATAGATGACTATTTTTGTACTCACAGAGAGGAATATAAAGGGAATTTTAAAATAATTATTTTCAGAGATGGCTTTCCAGTTTTAATAAGACTGTTTGGAATTTTTGGGGGTGGGTGCACTTCTGATATTTTTGCAAATATATATATAATGAAAGTGCTTGCATGTACTGTCACATTTTTGATCAGAATTTGCATAAGCATTGCTGTGTGATTTCAACATAATTTGCATGTTGTAGTTTTGCAGTTCAAATTTTTCTCATCGTCTACCTCTCAGTTGAAGTTTGGAGACTTGCACAACCCTGTAAGAATAGAGTTAACAAAATGCATAATGGTAAAACCTGTACAGACTATTGGAAAGTCTCCCAAATATTTAAAGCTGCTTACACTTCTGTTTTCAAGGCAGGGCATATCTGTGATCACATCTTTGTATCTGTTCACATATCTTTAATCTTAACCCATACCTATGAAGTTTTTGCATCACTGGTCTGGTTTGAAAACTCAATGTGTCATTTAGCTATCCAAAGTCCAATGATCTTTCTGTGAGATGCTGGCTACTATTCTTTTTTGTTTTCTTGCAATTTCTGAGTTAGGGAAATTAGCAAAGTTAATATATCCAAACAGTTTATAAAATTATTACAGAACATTTTGCATTTTGCATCCCTGAAAAAAAAAAATTGTGTTTCTGGTTTAGAAATAATAGCAGATTTCAGCTTGCTTTTCCTTTTATGGGGCAGTTGAAGGAAGTACTCACAAAATATTAGATTGGGGTCAAGGAATGATGATTATTCCTCATATGCTCTTTACAAAACCAGAGATGATTGTTCCTTCAAAGATATTCTTCAAACCATTCTTGCCTTCTAGGACCTAGTACATGGTCCACTAAAGCCAACATAAAAATACCAATCAAGGAGCTTTACCAAACATTTGAGGTGATGTGGCTTCAGTGGAGATTTCAGCCTTATTTTCTCCATTCCAAATCTCAGGACCATCAGATATGACACAGCAAACACAGCTGGCAAATTTTCTATGCCTGCATAATATTCCTAATGAATCAGTCCCTAAATTAACGCACAATATGTATTATTTTAGTAGTCTATGTAAATAAATTTTTAAAAAAATCCCACCATACACTCTGAATGTAGATTATAAAATACAGAGGATATATTTGAATAAGTATCCAAACAAGTCTGTTAACCCCAAAGGAAATTATTTCCTTTCAAGCTTTCTTTGAGCATTTATAACCTTCATTTTTCTTATTTCCAGAGAAAATGGTTTATGTTGTCTGTGAATGTATATATGGACATATATAAGGGAATATATATGCAGATGTGGTATGTGTGTATATATGTATTCCCCTATATATAAAACTCTAATTTATATATATTATATATATTTCTGTATATATAAAATATATATAATGCTTTAGAGTAAGTTGCATATTGTGCCTGATAAATGAAACATAATTGTAAGCAAATAAAAAACTTCCACAAATGACAGAAAAATTTTAAGTTTTTTTTTGTAAGGCCATATGCTATTTTTCAGTTTCTGCTAGATTTATTTTTAGTAGAAATTAATTGAAATGCTGCAGTATTACATAACACTGGTTTCCAACCATGACTCAGTTGAAAGCAGCCCAAGATCACTGAGAATGTTCATTGAGGTAGATGGCAAAACCTACATTGTTGGTGAACTTGTTGGTGGGGTGTCATTGCTGTGGAAATATTAACTAAATGATCTCTGAACAACTGCAACCAATATACTGAGTTTTCAGCTAATGTGATATGTATGACCAGTTCATACAAAATATTGGTGGACATGATATTTTTTGGAACAAGTATGGAAAGTGAGAATACTCAAGCCCCTGTAAACAATATTCCTGTTAGATTAATATGTGAAATTCTCCAGAATATTAGTCATTAAAAACGCTGACAATATATCATACCTTTTGCAAGTTTTGGTGGTTTCAATTGGTCTGCAAGTAGGCAAGCCCATGAAAAGTCTACATTTGGCTCTCACTCTTTAAAACAGTTATACCTTAAAATTGCTGGGAGATTTTTCAGAGTGGTACATAAGTAATTTACATAAATTCACTTCCTCGAAGAGTGATACAGCTGCATTTTCCACTTACAGCCTACTTGGAAAGTTCACCGTATCTGCAGTTTATCAACAGAACCTGGTATTGCTATGCAATAATTAAACATGCAGTAACCACTGTTGTTGACTAATAAAGTTGTTTCTTCCTTTCTGTATTTTGCAATACTGTATGGTTTTTACTTGAATAAATTGGCTAGATTTTTTTTGACAATCATTTATTAGCTAGAGGTGCTATTTATTTTCCAAAGAGATATGAGTGAATGATAACTTTCTAGATGCCAAATCTTTTTTTTGACCTGAAAAAATTCATTGTTCATAATGTATATTAACCCTGTAAAGTGCTTATGCATTGCATTAAATTGTATTTAAATGCATTTTTGTTCATTAACTTCTATTCCAGGCTTGTACTACTGTGTAATATGTCGTTTGTCCATATATATTTATGGGAAATTACAATGAAAATTGTGTATAATAAGCAATTGGGAGAAAAAAAGAAAAATTAAAATAAAATTTCCATGTAAAGTTTTTCTGAAAGGATGCAAATTCTATTTCTTAGGCTCCTTAATAGTATATTATTTACACCTTCAGAATGTGCAAATATTCATAGATGGATTCACTATTCAGTTGTAGCAGAGGACTCAAAGTCATTTCTTGTTGCATACAGAAACAGAACTTCAAGATTTCCTGTGGAGAAAAGCTACTGCTAGTAGCAGAACATTGTACCAACCCCTTGCTATTCCTAATTTCACCATCTGGACACCAGGGATTCTTTTCCCCATTACTTGGACTTGGATTTCGTGCTATATTCCTTGTGCATGGAATGTTATTCCTTAGTCACCAATACTCATTTTGCTACAGAAGAGGAATTTATCCATGTGTCTTGAAATAGTGTATGTAGATAAGTCTTACTTTGTATCCTCTGAATATTGTCTGTTCCTATGTTTTTGTAAATTGACTTCACTCTATGATTTCTTGCCCCAGTTAAATTGTTATTTACAGAATGTGATTGGATAATTAAAATTAAGATATTGGGGGGTGTTAGAGACAGTATTAAGATACACCTTTGCGTACTACCTACACACTTTTTAGATAGATGCACAGTAGGCTACTAGAAAACAAAGATATAAAAGATGAACTATTGAATAAGAATGAAATAACTTTATCGAAGCAAATGGTCGTTATATTTCTAACAACTGTAAAATCTATTTTCAAAGAATTATACATATAACCTTCATGATACAGAAGTGCTGATTCAGCTACCGAAATATATTTCAATATTGTTTAGATTATGGACCCCTGTAATACTTGCATATCTGACTGTTTTAATAATCATAAAAATCCATTTTCAGGCATTGACCAAGCTAAAGACCAAAAAAAAAAGTTAAAAATATCTAGTAGTAAAATTGTCCTTTTGAAACAATGAACAAGATATGATATTTAACCCTGCTCAGAGACACAGCTGATATCACTTTTGGGCCTAAGGATGTGTTGCCTCACTGAATCTAATTGCATTACTAAAATACATTGCTGAAAAATAGATGCTGATTTCAGAAAAATCATTCCTATTACTGAGGTTTTGTATTTTGATAGTGTAGTGGCAAGATAAATGGAGACCTCAGTCTGTAGTTTGTTTCTAATATTAGCTGTTACTGTTTTGAAACAAATGTTATTTTATTCTAGTAATGACCCCTTTTAACTCTGCTGGTTACTCCAAGTTGAGTAAATAGATTGCATTTGCCATTGCAGCTCAACATTAATAGCTTCCACAGTTTTATTCCTCTGTTTTTGAGGACTTCAAAAACATTATCATTCACTGAAGTTCCTAATCTATAACATGCAGTCAACCCTGAACTTGTGTGGGATCTGCTGTGCCAGCTGGTTCCCTGAAAGTGGGACCTGATGGGATTAATCTGAGAAGTGCTGGCAGATGTTGTTGCAAGACCTCTAGCAATTGTTTTTCAAATGTCTTGGGAATCTGAAGAGGACACAGGTGACTGGGAGCTGGCAAGCATCTGCATTTGCCATAGCACATTGTGTCTTGCTTCCTCTTCTTACATTATGGATAGAGATCAGAGGTACCAGCATTGTTTTTTAAATATAAAAAACATAAGTCAAAGGAAATGAAGTGATATATATATATGGTGTATTAACATAATTGGTGATTGTGACTCACGGGTTGAATAAGTAGTTCCGTTTCATTAGGTGACTTCTAATTACCCATGCCTGGTGACATCCAACTGTAAGTCTGTCTTAGTTAAAATACATCCATTCTCTGAAGGCCTATTTTTGTCATGGAAGCTTCTTACAGCATCCTATTGTATAACATAATGATGTTCTCACCTCAAAACTTGCATGTGAGAATATGATGCTGTTAATTTTTTACTAGCATGACACCTCAGTCTTGCTGATTTTTCTGTACAAAGGAACTCGTGACCTAATCCAAAGTTTCCCTTTTTTTCTCACGAGATATAAAATAAAGATGATACACCTGAACAAAATCCAGGTGAAACACTGAGTCAGACTTCTATTTTTAGGACATTTTACCCACTTTTTATCAGTGCAAATGGATCTTAAAACATCTGGGACTGTGCTGTCTTGAATTCAGTTTAAAATTTTATAATCACAGATTTCATGTATTGTTTGAAAATTACCTCGTATCAATATTTCACATTAATACATGAGAATTTAAAGTAATTCATCAAAAATAATACTCAGATTATTTTTTTTTCTGGGATTTAGTCAGAATTCAGAGTAAATGGGCCTGGAAGGTAATTAAGTTACTTCCCTTCTTTCATAAGTTCTTCTCCTCCTAACTTTGACACTGATCATGATCATGCAAACATGAATCAATGATTAATGTTTTAAACATTGCTAAGATCATTGAAGTGCCTTTGTCCACTGTAGGGGCTACTGACCACTGAAGGCCACCCCTCCCCAAATATGCCTTCGGACAGGAATTTGGACTCTGATGGGAGCTTGAGATAAGATAAAGGTGGCACTTTTGTCCAAATATCTCAGGTCTAAGGAGAAGTGAACAAGGCTGAGGGAGAAGAATGAATTCACAAGGGAAGCCAAACTCAGCAGCTGTGCTGAAAATCATCTCTGCCTGGGTTCATGGTGGGAGAGGCCACAGCCCACAGGCTCATCTGCTGAGGCCAGGTTTGTACACACTCACCCTGCTGCCCAGGCAGAGGAGGAGAGTTTTTGGGGGTGTGACATAAGCAGTGAACACCCATATACAAACTGTCTCAGCTGTAAAATCTCCCAACAACAACAGTAAGGGGAAAAAAAAAAAAACAAACCAAACCAACAAAACACAAAAATCTTTTTTTCCAACTGTTTGGACCTTATATGATAAAAAGGACCTCTGAGAAATTTCTCAGAAATTATGAGGTCTCCATAAAGAAAAATTAATCAAAATGTATGCCCAGAGGAGATACTGCTCAGCATTTGCTGATATCATCCAATAAATCTTCTAAATATTATTTCAATTTAAGATCAGATTAGATTTTATTGCCTGGAAATTGTCAGTTTTAATTTGAGTGCTTTTAAGAGTGATATCTATACAAGGATTTATTTTGTTTCATTAAAAAACACCTATGAATTTTCTTTCTTTTATGTGTTTCTTTTTTCGAGAATTTAATTATAATTTTTTACCCCTGGAAATTGTGTAAACATAGTTAATCAAGCAATATATGTTTATATATATATAAAAACTGTGACAGCAGAATAATTTTCATGCCTTGTATATCAGCTATATAGAGTTGAAGTCAATTCTTACTACTGTTCCTACTTCCCCTTCATATAATTTTTCATGAGCTGGAAATGTGCAAGTCTATTTGAACACTTTAATGTTTATGAAATTGGAGTGGAAAATTTGCTAAAGCTGCTTTACTTATTTCTTAATTTAAGACAAGCAGAAGTTCATCAGCACAATCTGTTTATGTTTTATCATCCTCATGAAAGTTCATGAAGACCTACAAACTACACAAGTATTTAATTAAACTTTTATATGGCATTAAATTCTCAGCACAAAATTAATGTGAAATATTTGGGGAAATGTGTTATGAAAACATAATAAAACTCTCAAAGATTTCTTTTGAAGTAGTTTTAAGTGAATACTAAAAGAAAACATTTATCTTTGATAATCTAGTTCAGATATCGCTAACTCATTTGTGCTTGTATTTTCCACAAAATAAATATTTTCAGAAATGGTCCTGTAGGACTCTAAAGCTGTAGCTAGGTACCAAAAGAAATGGCAACATTTTTTGATATATCATACATGTATCAGTTTTCACTTAGAAAGCGTTTATTTTGGAGGAACAGTGATTCATTTTGCCAACCATCATAATATACTTTGATTAATAACAGCAATTCCAGTTTGGCCTGAATGATAAATGAATAGCAGTTAGGCACCATAGTTTTTCAGTTCAATCACTGAACTGAATAATTGGGGGAAAATGGTTGAGGATGAAATGAAGAGGAATTTTTTTCCCTCACAGAAAAAGTGCTTATTTGCCTTAATTACAAAACAAAGATTTTTCAATTCCATTTTGAACCTTCTAAATGGACATAAAAGGAAAATTGTATTCAATTTATGAAGCAACAGAGTTTAGCAATGATGGCATTATTCATCAGACATATTGAGAGACAGGTTCAGTTCTGGCTGACATGAATGACCCCATGATTCCCTCTTCTAAAGCTGCTGGGGATTCAGGACTGAGTTTCTCTCCTACTCATATTTTTTTCTGCCACAGAAGTAGCCATCTTTCAATTCAGTTTGCATAGTGACACTCTATCTGGACTATATGTCTTCCAACATCAAATATTTTATGCAAAGTGAAGAAACATCAGTAAAAATAATTACTAGTACATAAAAAATTGCTTTTGCACAGCAAAAATCCCCTGTGGATTCACAATTCCCTGAGTGTCTCACAGGAAATGCATAGGTTTGAAAAGTCACAATACCCACAGCTTTTAAAAGACTGAAAAAAAAGTAGATTTGCGTTGATAATCTATTTATTTTTTACTCAGCTGATGTCCACTGCAAATAATAAAAGGCCTTGTTATTGGGTATTAATAAAATCCATAGGGGTTTTTTGTGTATGTTTACTTTGACATTGGATTTATTGTGTTTGTTTGAGGTAGAATTTCATGAAGGGACCCACAAGTATCAAGTTCAACTCATTGAATTCCAGCTCTGGGAAAGACATCCCACACCATGTGCCCAAGAGTGTTATCCAAATGATTTTTGAACTCTGTCAGGCTTGGTGCCATGACCACTTCCTTGGGGAGCCTGTTCCAGTGCCCAGCCACCCTTTGGGTAAAGAATCTTTTTTTTAATACCCAGTCTAAACATCCCCTGACAACTTCAGGCCATTTCCCTAGGTCCTGTCACTGGTCACCAGAGAAGGGATCAGTGTCTGCACCTCCTCTTCCCCTCGTGAGGAAGTTGCAGACAGCAATGAACTCTTCCCTCAGTCTCCTCTTCTCCAGGCTGAACAGACCAAATGACCTCAGCCTTTACTCAAAACTTCCTGCCCAGACATTTCACCATCTTTGTTGCCCTTCTTTGGGCGCTCTCCAATAGCTTTATATCCTCAGCACCCAAAACTGCACACAGTATTCAGGGTGAAGACACAGCAGTGCAGAGCAAAGCAGGACTTGCTCAGCTGGCGATGCTGTGCCTGGTGCACTCCAGGACATGGCTGGCCCTCCTGCTGCCAGGCCACACTGCTAATTGAAAATGGCTGCTTCACAGAACTAGGTATTTTTCTTCCCATCCACAAACCCAGAGGCATAAAAGTTTCATCTGGATACAAAAGGTTACTGAAAATGAGAAATTGCCTAAAAGTAGCAATTATTTTCTAAGAGAGTTAATCTTTCTGGCAATGTTATTCCCACAAGTAAAAGTGTCATTAAATAGTCTTAATTCTGGGTTCCACTCAAGTTTATTAAAGCAAGATTTTTCTCCTAAAATTAATCAAGGGAAACATTAAAATCTAATTTTTAAGTTCTGTCTTTGTAACAGCAGCAGCAGCAACCTGGAGATTCAGTGCATCTGCAAAGGGTTGCAAGTGGGCTCTTAGCAGAAGTACCTAGTCCTAGGTATTGAAAGTGTGACATACTTCCTTGTCCTTAAGAGTGACACTAACAGGAGTTTACAACCAGAGAACTGTTTTAAGTACTTTGGCTGGTGTAGGGCATCAACAGGCATGAATCACCCTGAAGCCATTTACAACCCCTGTTTGAGCATCTGTTAATAACTTATTCCCACACCTGTGTCCTCAGACTCAGCAATGCGTTTGCTGTTTATTGAAGCAACAGTCTCTGCTAGGCATCCAGGACAACCTTTCTCTCACCTTCCCCGGAGTGCTGACAAGACAGCTGACTGTGGAGCCTGAAGTGGAAATTGCTGGCCTCACACTTTTGCACATTCTCCAGAATACAGCTAAGCATCCACAATACACCACTAAGCCATGCCTCGCTTCAGTGCTGCAAGGTGCTCAGGTCAGGGGCTTGTCTCACTGGGTTACATCAAGTATCTGTTTTAAACACAGTCCAGACTCTTCCTCACTCTGCCCAAAACCCTGCCAACGGATGATCACAAAACTTTTAGGTTAAGTAGTTTGTGTGGTTCTTTCTTTTGCGTTTGTAAGCTTAAGCTTGGATGAACATAATAGACAGGGAAAAAGTAAGGGTTTTAATTTGAGGGATTCTCTTTCTGATATATTTTACCAAAAGCATGAAAAAACTCACATGAATCAATCAAAGGTCTTTTTGAATAGATTCTTGCACATAAGGGTGCCTGTACCTAGGAGGGTTTCTCTGCTAAGAAATGTTTGGTCACTTTATGGAAAAATACATTTTTGGTCAAAATTTTTTGGCCGGCACAAGTGGGAAAATTCTTAGTAATCACATGCTGGAAGTACCTTAGGCTGGGTGGAAGGAACAAAAAACAAGTTTTAACTGTAGAAATATCACAGAAGAACACCTCCATAGATTTCTCTTCCACTCCTGAAAAACTTTTTTTAATGCATACTTTATGGGATGGCTTATACCTTTAGAAAATTGTCCTTTTGAATAGAATCACAGTATAAATAAAAAGAAATTAAAATGCAAGATAATTTAAATTTGTTTCATGTCTGTACTATGAATTATTATAGGAAATTTCCAAGCAACTTTCTAGACCTATTTTCCTACCTTTATAAGCATACAAGAAGTCATGGCTAGAGACCTCAGTAAAGAAAGGTGAAACCTATGGATTGAAGGGATAATATCAGTGATCACTAATATTTTTATGTTCTCAGAACACATACTGTTTTCTATGTCACCTTTTAGCAGCTGAAGAACCACTTCCCCTGTTACAGAATTGCAGGCAATAAGTTCTCAGCATGAAATTGCTAGCATCCCTGGAGAAAATATACAACACAGCTACTCACTTTCTAACACCTCTTGCCTGAAAAGAACTTGATGGTTCAGAAAAGAATCAGATAAATTTAGATTGCCTTTTTTTTAATGGAGTTTATTACTATATTACTCTTTCATAGTTTCAAGTCTCAAGGCAAGATGAACAAAAGAGAAAATCTCTGTTTTCCCTTTAATATGTGAGTAATAGAGTAATATCTAAGATAAAAGCAGGTAAGTGGAGTCTAGGAGCTGGTCTTTACCTGGCTAGTTCTTTTCTCACATTTTTCTTTCACAGGGACTTTCCAAATGCACTGTTGTACCTCTCAAAATGGTCTCTAACTAAAAATATATCTGATTACTGCTGAGTAGTATTCTTACTGCAATATGGTTTTGCCTCTGCATGACAGGTTGTTATGTATTATGTTGTAGTCACTCAGTGAAATATTTATGTCACAGTAGCCACTTGCTTCAAGATAGAGAAACAGATTAAAACAGATTACCTAAAATAGAGAAACAGATTATCTCTGCTTAATTATCATTCACACCCTCTCTGTTCTTCTATCCTTAAGCCTGGCTGATCCACATCAGCAAGCAAATAGCTCTCAAAAGCACATTATTTTTGCTATTTGCATCTTCCTGAAAGCAGCTCTGGACGGGATGTGTGTGTGAGGAGTATGAACTGACGAGCAGCACTCCAAACTGGCTTTGTTAGTAAGACTATTAGGTGAGCAGAGGGAGTGGGGAGGGCTTCTAGAGCCACATGCTGTGGTTGCTTCAGCTTTTCCAACCCACATGTGCCTGGGAGACAATCGTAAATGAGTTGCCTGTTGGAACGCTACATGAAAATGAAAATGGTGGTGTCCTCTCAGGATTAGCAGTCTGTTGTTCTCCAAAGCCTTGATTTCAAAGGCACAAATAAAAGGGAGGAGAGAGGAAGGAAACAATAAGTGCAATCCACAGAGGACACGGTCAATTCTGTTTCTTTGTTAATGTCTGATTTATGCAGTGTGAAGTGAGCAGTCTCTGATTCAGTTAACAATAGTGTTTCTAAAACATTTCGTGAACTAGTGGAGATCACAATTAGCCTCCTGCCTTCAGTTGCAATACATGACAGAGACTTACAGGTTAAATGCAGAAATTATGCCTGCTGCAGTGCAATTCTGATTGTCACTTTTTATGTACAATATGATTTCCATTACATGATAGAAGAGTTGAAACAAATAGGACTTTAAGAAGACAGTTTGTGGCCTTCTACAGTTAAGCTTTTAATACAGAGCAAGAATGAACATGTCTATTGTAATGTTCATGCAAAGCATTGGATTTACTGAATTTCTGAATACATATGAAAACTGAGAGTCTTCATGGAGCTCTGGAAGTTTCAGAGTTGTTCAACAGTTTTTTTTGTTTTTTTTTTTTTTTGTTTTTTTTTGCTTGATTGCGCCACAGCTTAATTGAGTTGATGGCTCTCAGCTGGAGATGTCAGTAGTTGCTTTGAAACTAGCAGCATATATTTCCTTGGGTAAATCTTACTGTTGAAATCTATCAGCTATTATGCAGGTAGCAGTTCTGGAAACTGACTGTGACTGCAGAGAATTGCAATTTTTAAATTAAAATCCCCAGGAATATTATGTATATATAAAAACATATATAATAAACACAAACATAAAAATAATTAATTTGCTTCAG